CTTTTCCTCGGGACCTAGCCATAATAAATAGGACGAAAACATACACAAACACTAGCTAGACGACCCAACCGGAGTCACATAGGAGGGGGGGGGGTTGGACCCCCTCCCGCGGTTCCTGCCTGAGGTATTGATATCGCGAGAAGGTTCCAGCAATTCCTTCCCTCGCGACTTACGAAGTCGCTTATGGTTTACTAGCAACGAGCTTTGCAACGCGTCGCTTTCATCCTAGTATAGACCAGGATGTACATAGTGAGAAAAAAACTCACTCTGCCGGGACTCGAACCCATGACCTGGCCCGCAACAGGCTGCGAGGTTACCGACTAGACCACCGGGGCGACTGTATGTTGGGAAAGTTGTACACGTTTATTTAGGGGAACTCCGTTTGTCGGGTGGTCTATTGTGGCACCCTAATGTGGTTGCGGAGCAAGCGCGTCTTTCTTCTTTTTTTTATGTTTCTTTTCATGCCCCACCTTCCTGCTGCGGTACGTGCTGAATTTTTATTTTTACCGCGAGAAGGGTCCAGCCGTCCCTTTCCCTCGTCAACGGTGCTAAAGTCGAAGTGTGGTATTCACGAGAGCTTGTCAGCTATATTTCGCTTTTACCCGCACTTTCGTAAGTTTTTCACCCCATGGGGATCCGAACTCACGACCTCTGCGACTAGCGGATTACGAGGATACCCCTAGACCACCGGGGCGACCGGTGTGTGCATGTGCGTATGACTGCCCCAAAATCCACGTGATCAAGGAAGTGTTTATGCATCAACCGTTGCTTCTCGTCTTCGTCACCCAAGAATGCTGCACTGCAGTATATTGTTTCCACTGCCGTCAGGTCCGGAGTGTAGATATGATCTAACTTGGAGAGACAGAAAGAGAGAGCGAGAGAGGCAAACAGACAGAGATAGGAGCGAGAAATGCCATGCTCGTGTGCTCAGCTCCCCGCCACCCACCACATTATGCCCCGAATCCACATACATACCGGGCACCGGCATCACCACCAACAGTGGGACGTAGAGTGCGCTCACTCGCACTACCGACCTAAGGTGGAGGGCTGCCACCCGACCGCCTGCGGACGCTTTGCGAAGCACGGCTTCCTCGACAAGCCGTCGGTGAGGCGCTTGATCGCCATGGCGGAGCGGGGCATGGCGGGCTGCGGAGACGACGTCCGATCCGGCCGGAGCGGGGCGGGCGGAGGTCCGTGCATCATGGATGTCAACAGCGGCTTCGTCAGGGCCTCGGGCGGGGATATTCGAAATATTTACGAGGGGGAGGAGGACAACGGGCTCGAGAGGCAGCCTCTGTACTCCGCTGATGATTACAAGTGAGAAACTGATGTGGTTGTTGGTGCCGTATATAGGCACGCGAAAAAACTGTGCGTCGTAGCCGGGTGCCGAGTGGCGATCGCAAAGCTAGTGGGGCGTGACTGCGGCGTTCGCCTGTACATCACCGTTCATCGAAAGTTTGCGGTGGTTTGCGAGGCTTGCTGTCACACTGGTATCGCGCTCTATTGCTGCATGACGTGATCACACTGCCCCAAGCGGGTGTGCTCCGCGTTTTGGCAGCATCATTCATCATGCACATGTCACCAAGACAGGACACGCTAGAGCAGCGCCGAGGTCTGTCGTGTGACGTTTCAGGTCCACCGCTTGGGGTTTTGCTCAAAAGTTGGCGTCACCTCGTGCAACGTCCGACCGGCCGAACGGGATGATTGCAGACGCCGTGTTATTCCATCACTCCAAGCACAGCGTTGTGTTGAGCAAATTTGAGTACTTGTTTGAACAACGTTCTCGACGGTTCCAGGTTCTACGGAGAAACGATCGAGCGGATCAGGGCCAAGGTGCAAGACTTGTTCGGCCTCGGTTTCCTTAAGTTCACCGCTCCGACTTTCATCACGCGCATACAGGGCCGAGAAGGCTGGCAGCCCAAATCCGCTCATGATGAGTACTGGTGAGTTTCGCCGTGAGCGAGCGGTTGGTATCGCTGAACCAGAAAAAAACTAACAAAAACGTCATGTTTCCAGGTTCTATGTTGTAGGAAAAATGTCATTAAAAAAGTCACGTTTCAAGGTTCTATGTTGTAGTCTCATCGGTGTATGTATACGTTCGTGCTGTTCGTTGACGCGACGATTTGTGGTATGCATTCAGGAGGCCCCACCGTCAACTATGGTAGAGGATTCTGAAAAATTGCAGACAGCAATGAAAAAGGGTACTACCTCCTCTGGAATTGGCGACGTACTGCAAAATTGTTCGGTCCCTCGGTGCTCGGCTACTTTTCAAATCGGTCTCATGTTCCAACAAATTTGCACGTAGGCCACAATTCGTGGAATGTAGTCCATTGTGGAAGTTAGGCCCAGTAGAGAGAGACGCTACTTGCAGGTGTAACCTCGGGCCCGCGCATACGACAGCACGCCTGCGACATGGGCATGTCTGGGTAGTCGACGATTCATCCACCCCATGTAAACTTGCAACATTGCGTCGGGCGAGTATGACCAGATCGACCTCTCCACTCTCGCTGCCATCTGTTTTATCTTTGGCATTCTTGACACTGTTGACACTCTTGCTACTCGTGACTGCACCGGAAGATTGACCTCTCCACCCTTTTCTCCTTCTGCCATGCTTGATGCTATTGGCTGCACCTCACCATGACGCCTTTACCCACCTCCGTGATAGGCACCTCCACGTCGACAAGAACAACACCCCGCACTACGACTACAGCGGTCTTCTCTACCTCAGGTGTTTTTGCTTGCAGAAGAACCCGTAAAAACTATTTTCCGTGAAGCAGTTGCCACACGGCCGCACCGCTTTCTCTCTCTCTTGTGCGTGTTGGGACGAATTAGGCGCCAAAACAGGAAACATAATATTCCAGCCACGGCATATGAACGTATTCTTACCTTACAATATTGATGTTGTGTCTCGCAGAGGCTCGGTCCGTTCTCGTTATCGTGTCTCTGGGGGAACCCAACAGCGACATGACAGGTGTTCATATTGTATGGTCCTTAAATGAGCACCTATTCTTAAGGTCGATCACTTACCTTATCCCCTGGTGTTTTTTTTAGCCTGAAGTCCATAACTCCCTCGCTGGCGCTTTGAGTGCTCGCTGGTTGTGTATCCATCGCAATCACACACGTTGTGATGTTGGTGGCCACGTTTCTACCCCACCTCACCGCAGCAGCTGTTCGAGCCACTTTCCCCACAGCGGAAGTCGCTCAGGAGAAGAACTAGGCGTTCCGTAGATCTGTGTCCGGTAACCGAGACGCCCACGCCTGCGTTTGCTTTTCGTGGACTACTGCTGTGCCACGGCCTGTTGGTGCCGCAGTGAAGCCGGCGTGGACTTCGAGGGAGGGCTATTTTCCTTCCAAGAAACAAATGAATCCCCTCCTGAAATGATCATCGAGCCTGCACCAGGTGCGTGCCCCCCCCCCCACCCCTTTCCTCCGTTTAGGTATTCATGAGTTACATGAACGTGCGTAGTTCTCTCTCTCAGGGCGAACATCGAAGCATAGCTTCGTCAAATGAGCGAAATCGTGACACGACTCACCACTTCTCTTGAGCCATCCTCTAACAAGAGTCGCTGTGAGAGAGTGATGGTTCTTGGAGTTGCTTTGTCGTTGTGAGTTTTGGGGAGTTTCGTATTGATCTTTTTTTTTATGCCGGAGTGACTGCGGCAGATACGTGTAGAGGGCTGGGAAAGACGCCGGTGTGCAACGCCGCTATCAGTTGGTTGCAGTATCGTTCTGGTTCGATGGCAAGAGTTGGAACTTCGACGCCTGAATTTCCGCAATAGTTTCCACGCCTCGTAGATTCACGCATGTGCTATACGTTGAGATGGTTTCCCGCGACATGAGAGCAGCAAACAAACACATTGGTTGGATGCGTCGACGGGGGGTAGTAAGAAGGAAAGAAGCGTTCGCCGCAGGCTTCGATTGCTTTGCACGGAGCACGTCCTCGATGAACGATAAGTCTGTCTTTGGTAAAGCCAAGAAACGTACGATCTTAAAGATAAACACCTATGATTGTTGTTTCCCTGTGGGCCGTAAAATCAGCCTGACTCTTTTGTGGATCGCGGTTGCGTTGTTGTGTGTTCGTGTATGCCGCGCTCTTGGAGCGGGGTCGACGTGTATTTGTGAATGATGTTGGGCTGGCTTGGAATACCGTAGATCGGTATTTTGTTTTTGTGATCTCTCGTCTTGAATTCTGCCGTGTGTGTGTGCTTGCCCGGTGTTGTCCACTACTGGCCAGGTCTTCTGTTGGCCTTCACGGCAGGGATGGAGAACCCACATCGGGCACACAAGGTCACCACCGGGACTCGATTCGTGCTGTCCTTCTGGTGAGGGCCTGCCGATATACATCGTCTTGCTTACCAATGCCTTCTTTTGCCAGTGTCGCGTTGGACGTGAACCCATCTAGTTGAGCGCACTATTGTGTTCAGGGTAACAATTGTACTACTGTAAGGACCGTGGTGACCGCCGCGAGTCGATCCACCATGACGGGGTTTCGAATGAGACAAATAAAACAGCTTGGAATGAGGGCTACAGTTGAACGATCGTGCGGCAAGTTTATCACAAATGGTAAACCGTACGTGTCTTAGTCATTTTCATTTTTGATGCTGCACCAAAGAGCGTTGACAACATTTTGATGTCTTTGGTGTTCCTTAGTTTGACTCGTTGAAGTCTTGAAACGGTCATCCCTTGGTTGGTTGGTTGGCCTGGATAGGGGCTGGCAACCCCGCTGTGTTCGTGTTGACCGTTTTGCGTTGGTGATGGCATGCAGTGAGTCTCACTGCCGCTGTTGTTGTTGCGGAATTCATCTACACCACCAGAGGGCGCACGCTGCCGAGCTCTGACCACGTACAGCAGTAGTATCTTTTTTTTTGTGTTCCTGGCCTGCCCAGCGGTGGTATGATTGGTGTCTTCTGCCCTACAAGGTTTAACGACCTTCGTTATCACGTGCAGATGCAACGCGCACGACTTGTCGTTTGGTATGGTATGGTCTTGCCACAGCCTACGCCGCCTCCCTCCTGACGAACCTCCGCTTTCCGTGGAATAAATTAGTACTTGATTACCTCTGTTTGATTCATTCATTCATATTTTCCCTTGCCCTCACCGTAATTACCACGGACGGTTCTTGTTGTCCTGACCCTGATTACAACGGTTTATTGTCCTCACCGCCGACAACGGTACGCACACTTCCAAACCCACGATCCATACGGCAGGTGCTTCCTTGCCTGTATTGCCTCTCCCCGTCCTCGCCCCCTACTTGTCGCCCTTGCTCCCTGTAGTACCAAAATTTACGCGTGTGATACTCGCTGTATCGTTGTGATTGCCTTTCGCTGAGCCCGGCTTACCACCTTGCTTTTGCCCTTTCTCTTGGTTTCGGTTTGGTTTCATCTTATCGGTGCACTTCTTTTGCTACCTGGCGGGACCCTTGGTGCAGGTTCACTTGCGACAAGAGAAAAGAGTTCTCCTAGTTCTTGGACGGAAAGATACACAGGCGCTTTGACGGCGGCGCTAGACAAGAGTAAGGATGATGGAAAATAGACAAGAATAATGATGGTGGAAAACGGGTAGGAAAGGCTTTGCAGGATATTGTCGGTGTGGATGAAGTATGAATGAAGTAGGAATTGAGGTAGTCCAGTCGATTGCTGGGTGCTATCTACTTGCTATACGTTGACATGTGAATAGTCAGTCTTCTAGATGCATTTCCATCATTCTCGCCTTTTGCGCCAAGAGTACATGCTGTGGATCATTTGTTGTACCCAAAGCGAAATACTGATGAAGGGGATGTGTTTTGCAGCAGGGGGCAGTGGGCAGAACTTGAAGGAGACGTATGCATTTCTTGTCTTTTCTTAGCATAGTCCTCTCGAGTTATTGTCGGAGTGTTGCTGGGTCTACATTGCGCGTGTCGATGCCTTTGCCGTGAGGAGGGATTGCTGAATTCGTGTCTATCTGAGTGCCATATCTTATGGAAACAGGTTTTGCAGGTCTCTTGCCCTCGAAGGTTAAGGTTTGGTCAGCGGGGTCGCTGATCGACGGCTGCGTGGTCCATGCTTCTGAATTGAAGTGACTCGTTGATGCCACGACACGGCATAAGAAAGAAATATGGGTGACGTCTATGGTGAGATTGCTGGTGCGCACATCCTTGCCAATCCCAATTGTCACCCCGATGATAGAGGTATGGCGACATCCCAGGGGACAGTTACTCGTTCTACCTCTACCGAAGCCCGACGGCAGACCTCAGTGTGAGTATTATAGCTATCTGTCTTTCGTTCATTGATTTTGACGTCGGTTACGAAAGTGTCCGTGGGCAGTTACAAGTGTACCCGTTTCTTTTGTCAGGTTGTCTATGATGAGACCGGTTGTTGTTGTTGTTGCTTTTGTTGTTGTTGTTGTTGTTGTTGTTGTTGTTGTTGTTGTCTTCACATTAAAAACCGTTCCGATCACTCTCTACCCAGTACATTCGTATGTCCGTACTGATCGCACGCCCTGTGTCACGAAGAACCAGTCCGATAGTTCTCCGTCGTCCATGCGCACCCGGGCCCGCATTCCATCGTGGAATTGGCGGATGACTTTGATCAGCTTCGCGGGAATCCCGGCCCTGGCCAGCACCTTCCATTCCATAGCATCTCTCGGTCCACGGAATCATACGCCTTCTTCAAGTCGACGAAGCACATGTAGAGCGGGATTTTCTTTCTCCGCCCCAGCTCCTGGAGGCGGCGCACGACGAACAGCATGTCGACGGTGGATTGCCCGGGTCGAAATCCGCACTGTTCCTCCGGGAGGATGTTGTTGGCTTCGCAGAACGCGCTTAGACGGCTGGTGATGATCTTGATGGGGACCATTAGCTGTGTTTTGTATAGCTCAGGCGATAGTCTCAACTATTGCTGATGCTTCGATGGACCCAGTCCCTACTGTTTCCACTTTTTTCAACCATCTTGTGCCGTCGACACACGAAACGCTACATGAGCGCCAGAAACTTGATCGACCCACACTTGTCGACCTTGTTCGGGTGTTGACAAGCGTACGTCGTTATTCATGCTGACGAGCTCTCGTGGAGAAGCTTCGAATCATTGTTGTTGCTTTAGTTTCCAGTTAGCGAGTGAGAGATATCGGCGAGGCAAGAAGGACCTCTCTCGTCATATCCATTCATATAGCCGCCGGAGACCCCGTGGATCAGTGCTCTGCCGGGTATCCCCAAACAGCCCCCTACCCGGTACGAAAGTTGTTCGATATCTGCGAAACCGTCCTTTAGTCGCCAGGTAAAACGGCCACTGATCCAAATCATTAGTCGAAAATCCACCCATTATTCAAGTCGAGAGATA